GTAAATGTCTGTGAGCTAATGGTATTAGAGGTGATAACTGGGGAAGCTATCTCTGTAATGGGTAAGGTAGTTGGGGTCTTTGTTCAGCCCCCCGCGGAGAGTGTCGAATTTTAGCATGAATGCCAGTTCAGAGGATTCCCTTTCAAGTGCAGATTTGAAAGTCTTCTGGAGTAGACAGGATCACACAGAAAAAACAGTTTCTTTCCATTTCAACCAGAAAGGACACTGTCTCAATGACCTAATCACATGCATCCTTCTGTTCTGAAATGTGATTTGTCCTTTTCATGTGTGTTCACTTTTTTAAATTGTATCCTTTGGTATATATGGTTGTGACTATTTTCTTCCACTATTTGATCTGAGGAAGTGGGTCTGGCCCACGAAAGCTCATCATCTAATAAACCATCTTGTTAGTCTTTAAAGTGCTACATAGTCCTGTCTTTTGTTTCAGCTACACCAGACTAACACGCCTACATTTCTATCACTATTCTGAATATTGCTGTGATCCCTGGTGTAAGAGACTGTCTCCCACAAAGGCAGGCTCGCCTACGTGGTGAGAAAGATCGGAGAGGCCCAGCAGATAGCGTGCGGCTCCACATTAAGGCTGTTACAGTCCTGGAAGAGCTTATGCTTGCCAACCAGCTGGTGAAATCCAAGTATAGAACGCACAGCCAACGTGGGGCTTGTGACTTATTTCTCTGGAACTCACACTCTTGAGTCACTGCCGTTGTCTGACACATTCATACCCATAAGTGACAGAAGTACCATTCATCATTAGCCACTTTGCTGAAGAGTTTATTTCCCTGCATCATCTCACTATGTGGTCTCTTCGGGGTAGCGTGCAAATGAAAACATGCTCATTTCATTATCAGCTCTCTAGGTTTTCAGTATCGCCATTTCAGTGGCTGCTCCAGCTCTCAAAGCATGGCAGTTAGGGACCCCATTGCTGGTCCAGCTTCCGAACACAAAACAAGACTTGAAATCAAAAAGTAACCAGCTGACAAGAATTTGA